ATATATATATATGTTCAACCTTAGCATATATATAACAACATATATATATATACATATATATATATATATATATATATATATATATATATATATATATATATATATATATATATATATATATATATGTATATATATATATATATATATTTATATATATGTATATATATATATATACAACTGGATATTTTTGGAATAAAATCAAAAAATTTTAAAGATTTTTTCTCTCAAAATGAATCTAGCTTACTCTAGATCAATTACATGAACTAAAATTTGTAATTCTGACAATAATAATAACAACTACAATGTATAAATATATATATATATATATATATATATATATATATATATATATATATATATATATATATATATATATATATATATATATATATATATATATACATATATATATATATATATATATATATATATATATATATATATATATATATATATATATATTTATATATATATATATATATATATATATATATATATATATATATATATATATATATATATATATATATATATACATATATATATACAAACTAGTATTGTCAAATATACTAACATAGATAATAAAACAATTTAATCAAACTTTAAAATAAAAACTTACTTAAAAAATTGTAAAAATAATTCAAGTAATCTGTTCTTGTAATCCACACTCATGAAATAATACGGTCATAACGAAATCTATTTAATATTTACCTAAATATCTATTTAATATTTACCTAACTAACTGCATCACAAGTTAAGCCATGTGTTATTGTTAAATTGTCAAATTCAAGACTTTATAAAAAGGCAACAGATGGCCTAATTATTATCATGTGTGACTTTACTTGTTTTTAGTGGGCTAATAAATAACTTGTTAAGTCTTTGTTATGCTGATAAAGTCACGCATGCGTATTTTAGTTCTCATATTGCAATTACGAACGGTTGAACTCGTAATATAGACGTTGAATTAACGTGGAATCAATGTCGATTTTATTTGATAGTTTTAAAACAAATTTTTCAACGTTGATATATATATATATATATCAACATTGAAAAATTTGTATATATATATATATATATATATATATATATATATATATATATATATATATATATATATATATATATATATATATATATATATATATATATATATATATATATATATATATATATATATATATATATATATATATATATATATATATATATATATATATATATATATATATATATATATATATATATATATATATATATATATATATATATATACATATAAGTTGCATGACTTTGAAGATAAAGCGATAATTATGGATAAAGTGAACAAACTAAAAGGTACTAATATATATATTAATGAGAATTTTAGTGAAACAACTAGGAGAATTCGTAAAGAACTATTTGCACAAGCAAAAACTCATAGGCAAAATGGCTTTTATGCAAAAGTTCTATATAATAAAGCTCTTGTTTTATCTTTTATTTTTAATTTTTAAAAATGGCTGAAAATTTTTTTGCTAATAAAGATTTTAAAAATTTAAATTTTGAGCCTTTTGAGGATTTTCTTAACTTTTCTGAAGATAGTTTAAATATTATTAAAGAAACTGAAATAAATTTAATGAACACATCTTATTTTGATCCTTATAATTTTAAAATTAAAAAAGATATTAATTCTTTTTCTATATTACATTTAAACATAAGAAGCATGCGTCAAAACTTTGAAAAATTTAAAGTATTTTTAAATATTATAAACTACACGTTCGACGTCATAGCTGTGTCAGAGACTTGGCATAAAACAGATAGTTCGATTGAATCAAATTCTAATTATAGCTTGCCAAATTACAAAGTAATTAGCTAACCACGAGGAAATCATAAAAAAGGTGGAGGACTAAAATTTTACATACTTGAAAAATATATATTTAAGATAAAAAAACAATTATGCTTAGCAAATGAAAACTATGAAAGTCTTAATATTGAAATAATTAATAACAAAAATAAAAATACTATAATTGGGTTTGTTTACCGTCCACTATGTGGAGAAATCAAATTGTTTCAAAATTTTATTGGAAAGAGTGTTTTAAAAATAAATAAAGAAAAAAAAACAATTATGTATATCCGGTGATATAAATTTAAACGCGCTGAATTACCACAACTTTCCAAAAACTAAATCGTTTTTTGAAATGTTGTTTAGATACAATGTCTTCCCAGCCAACATTGACAGACGGGTACCGTATGGCTTTTGTCTGGGCTTACGGGAACGGGATTTTGACAGGTAAGTGTTTTGGTTTCCAGACGGGTCCCATATAAACCCTTTTTCGTTGTTTTGATTTTTCGAAACAAATGCGCATGCGCGCATCTTTGGCAGTCAAAACATCGATTTTAAAGCTAAACAGTAAATATTAATTAGCGTCTTTTAATAATATAGGAGTTAAAGGTTTAATTTATACAAAGTTTTTTTAATAATCATTTATATTTATAAAATAATATGCCTGACGTGTGTTGTGCC